TGAAAAGTTCGTGTCCTTCAGCACTTCCACTGCGAACGCTGACTCGATTTTTGCTATGTGTGTTCGCCAAATTTAGAAACCATTGAATCAACAAAGAAAAGTATTTTTTGCCTCAGGATACCCTAAAAAATTTGGAAGTAAACAATTTTTTTAAGCTTCCTTGTAGAGGCGGAAGAGTGCGTTATCTGATTTGTTCTTTTTTTTTCAACACCGGAAAGGGGAAATAGCTTTTGGGTTTTTTTTTACTACAAATAGTCCTAGATTTACATTTTCTTTTTATAGCAAAAGTTCTTCAGTAGCTTGCTAACAAGAAATTTTCATGTGCTGAATCAGAACAGACCAGATGCGGCATCAGTTTGCGTGAGAATTTTTTCAGTTTGAAAAATTTTGGAAGTCTTATATCAACATGTATTTGTAGCACAACTCTCTGACCTTCATTGTATTTGTTTTAAAATACATATTTTGCACTTGTGCAAAGGTACTGAAGGTAGAAAATAAAAATTTCGATGCTGGACTCGTGTAAGTGGAGCAAAACGAACCTACTTTTACGAAGGTAAAAACATAGAAAAGGGGCTTGATACACCTTCTAAAAGCCTTAAAGAAAGGTCTTTTAGAAGGTATAGTTTTCTGTGAATTATGTTTCCTTTTTTTGTAACAAGTGTTCTAAGAAAAGAGATTTGGAAAGCTATACTGATGTGTTTCAATCTTATATTCAAAAAAACAGCCAAGAAAGTTGATTTTACTAAAATAATGGCATCTATGTCTGATGAGCACAATAAAACAAAAAGCGCGTCAAAATTCGAATTGGAAGTACTTCAGGCCACGAACTTTTTAAACACCCTGGATATTCATTCAGCGGGCTAATTAACCCATCTAGACAAAATTTCACCCAAATCTAAGATTTCTTTTTCCACCCTCTACCGTAAATCTACCGTAACTTTATGAAAAGGCTCCATTGTGCAGAGAAAGTATGATATCCGTGATCACGTGTCAATTAACAATCCCTCCCCTAAGTCAAGTTTCACCGAAATTTGTGCTTTTAACTCCCTACTGTAACACCACTGTAACTCCAAAACTAACGCTACCGTACCAAACAAACACATTCGGCATCGGTGGACCGATAAATTTTCTGGGCCAAGTTAGCGAAATCGAGAACATGAAAATTTTGGAATTCGGATACTGGAATAGCGCCTTTTATTTGTAACCAGCTGCCTTACCCGGTTCCACCCGGCCCTTTCAAAACACTATGATAAAGATCACCATTCTTATTAATGTACTACCTTTCCCGTGACCACTTTGCATGCCAGTTTTCTATTCCCCTTCTGTTTTCGTTATCAGCATGCTCACTCCCCCCCCCTCTTTAAACACGTATTGTTCTTGTCAGAATTATTAAATTCGAAATTTCTTACGTCTGCGCGATTGTCCGATACAAATATATACTATTGTTCTGCATTTGGATGTGGCTGAATGATTGAGAAGAGATTCTGACTTCGCGGAGGGTATTAGCTGGTGAAGTTGATTGGTCAAAAAGGATAGCTGCGATGTTGGTTTATCGTTGAGAGCCAACCGCCCCTCAACGAAGCAATACTTCGATTTTCGCTCCATCAGCATTTCCATGCTGACGAGTAGATTTTGGGCTGTATAGCAATCCAAGAGTTAAGAGAGGTTGAAGGTTTTGACTTTCCGACTGAAATCATTCGTAAGATATGTAAACAATTTGTTCGAGTGCAAATCGAAGTTTGTTCCATCAGATGGTGCCCTTTACTTTGAAGTTAGGTATTGCAGAGGGAAAATTATAGCTGGAAGAAACTGTATTTCGATATGCGTTTCTGGTAATTTCTGTTGCTTTTCTTTAGCTTATAGCGTTTTCCTATTCATTGTTGCTATAAAATATTTCAGCCTTTTTACCAATCATGTGCAATTTCTGTGCTTTATATTAGGTTGATGCAAAAATAATGGCCGTTCTGCGAATTCTCACTTTGTCGTGCTACAATTTTTTGAAAGATCCACATTTCCGAATGCAGTAACGATCATCAGAAGCAGCAACCTTCTGCAATACAGCGCACATTTACTTATACTAACATCGCGAACGGGAAGAAAAACATGAATTGAAAAACAGAAGAAGGTTTTTCTGCTATAACTTTGTTTTTGACAATTCATAACTTCCTTCAAAGTTTGTAGTATGAATGATAAGTGGCCTGTTTTCTAGCCTCAAGCCATTAGTGTAAAAGACAATAAAAAGAATTCGACAGAAAAGTTTGCGATAAAGAAAATATCTAAATGCAAAATTTCTTAGTTTTTTGGACATTTTTTCAGGTGCCTCAAGGTCCCGAATGTTTAATTTTCTGATTTTCTACGTACTGAACAGCTTGATGTTTTCGGAAAAACTGCTAATAGGATGCCCTAGCCCTACGCTTACAAAATTGAGCAAAGCTTCGGCGATTGACTTCTTCGGAAGAAAATTATGGGTCATAAAATGAGCGCAACAGCTGACCAAGTTTAGACGCCGATGTTTCTGCCTGGATATCTTCAAGAATACAGTTGAGTATGCATAATGTAGACAATTTCTATAGCATGCAATAACTAAATTCTCAAAGAAATGCCATTTTTACGCGCTTGAATTCTGGGAAATTGAATGCAATGAAATCCTGAATTTGGATGCGGTTATTTGAAGCTCAGTAACCTTATAACAGATGAGGGTGAAAGACCGTTTCAAACACCATTAGATAGAGAAAACAGCTTTTGATGGTTCACTACATTTATGAAAGGCTTGGGAAATCGGCCATTATTTTTGCACCAACCTTATGATATCCTTTCGATATGTACATTATTTCTGTGCTTTTTTTAATATCCTTTCGTTTCAAAGTTGAAGCAGTTGTGAATACTTCGCTTTTAATGAAGAAAATTTATGTAAAAGACTTTCTTGGATTAAATTAGCACTCCTCTATTGATTTGCCCCAACCCGCTTACTAGCGACCCGTAGGGTCGCTAGTCTTATATATAAAGCTGAATGTCTGTTTGTCTGTATGTATGTATGTATGTATGTAAGTCTGTATGTACGTATGTTCCAAATAGAAAATTCCATTTCTGAACCGATCCGGACCAAACTTGGCACACATACGCTACGGGCCCCGGCGGGTGTCATAGGCTACTTTTCGTCATCGATCGATATCGATTTTATCGATTTTTATCGAATTTTGCTGAGTTCACCTACGGGGCTGGGAGTTGGCACAGGGGGGTAATCGAGCATGGGGATTCCGAATACAATATTGGTTTTCAGGATTATCGATTACTTTTATCGATTTTATCGATTTTTTTTGCAAAGTTTGAGCTATGGGGCTGGGATTTGGCACAGGGGGGTAATCGAGCATGGGGATTCCGAATACAATATTGGTTTTCAGGATTATCGATTTTATCGATTTTTTTGCAAAGTTTGAGCTACGGGGCTGGGAGTTTGCACAGGGGGGTAATCGAGCATGCTGATCATCCCCAAGGGGGGTGATCAGCATGCTCGATTACACCCCTGTGCCAAATTCCAGCCTCCTAGCTCAAATTTTCAAAAAATCGATAAAATCGATAAAAGTAATGGACGATTATGAAAACTAATATTGTATTCGGAATCCTCATGCTCACTTCCCCCCCCCCCTGTGCCAACTTCCAGCCCTGTAGGTGAACTCTGCAAAAAAATCGATAAAAATCGGTAAAATCGACATCGATCGATAACGAAAAGTGGACTGTGACACCCGCCGGGGCCCGAAGTGTATGTGTGCCAAGTTTGGTCCGGATACGGCGGAGCCGGGTAAGCCAGCTAGTGCTACATGAAACTCAGAGCAAAATCTACCCCGGAGAACTTTTTTCTGGACCTCTGCGTTTACGCACTATTTATCTTTCTCTAACTAAACTCGGAGTTAACTCCGAGTTTCGCGCGAGCCTGAAACGCGCACCAAACTCAGAGTTAACGCGCAGCTCAGCTGCGCGTTTCGTTGCTTAGCGTCTCGCGTGGAACGATTTACGCTACGTTTCCATACTTGGCATAAAGTTCGTCTTGCGCGGTATCCTGCCATATAACCCTTTCCCCAATTTGGTTTGCTTATGCAGGTGTTAATGGTCCCTGAAAGGTGCGTGTTAACTCAGAGTTAACTCTGAGTTTGAGGTGCGCGTTTCGACAGGTTTACTACCGGCCCAGATTTTTACACGACTGAAGTGTTCAAACATGATCGTGTTCACGGCGTTATTTTGAAAACCAAGTTTTATCGCACAAAGTGGTAGGCAAATGATTCGGTTACCGCGCAAACATAAGTTTATGCTACCAAATTTTTATGCAAAGGGGCAAGGGCTGAGAGAAACAAACTGAGAAATGCTAATTACATGGTTAAATGGTGCGGTCAGCTTTTTCCTGAAAATTTCCCTCTACCAAAATATAGAAAATGACTCGTTTGCAACGCAAAGATGACAATATGACACGAAATTTGGTTTATATACGCGCAATAGGACAAGGACAATTGTGGAAAATTTTGGAAAACTTATTCGAATAAAAAGTAACTTTTGCAACTTTGGTGGGCAATTATCCACCTGATGCCCACCTAAAGTGGGCAAAACTTCCAATTTAAGTTTTTCAAATTTTCTAGGCAAAACTGTTCTAAACCTAAGGTTTATTACGATGTGACATTCAAATTTCAAAACTCCTCATCTTTCCTTGCCAGAGTTTGAAATAGCAAACGAGTCGCAGCTTCAGAGGGAAATACTGAGCTCCAATCGAACAACCTGAGCAGTTGATGCGGTCAGAAGAAAAATCGTTAAATCAAAGTGCGTCTCCTCTTATGGGGGGCCATTTGCCACTCTTGTGCCGATCCCTGATTTTCTACACCAAAAATTACATTTTTATGTTTCAGAACTCTCAGCGGCGTCAATTGTGTTTGTTTACACATTAAACTTGAAGATCTTTACTTAACAAGTTAGAGAGATTTTTCGTACTATGACGTTATAAGTATTGTTAATCATCATTCATCACTTCTTAGAGAATCAAGGTCAGCTGGAGCTAAGAAGTCGAATATGGGCACAAGATTTGCTATCTCGACAGCATGCAGGTAAAGAATGAAAGTCCATATGAATACGAGGAAGTAAAGAGTTACACACACCAGAAACAAGTAACGGCATGGAACCTGCAAACTCTTCGCATGAAATCTAGCAATCGTTAGCCGGTCACTTACATTTTTGGTCGGTTTCTTTCCTCTTGGTGGTTTGGTCTCCTTTAGGGTATCCGGTTCCCTTAATATCAGAAACACCTTTAGTTATGTAAACTGCATGACTAGAGTGCTTACGTTGCACCTGTGGATGTTTTAATTGAACCTTCTGGAGGTGGCGGTGGCATTTCAGGCAAATCTGGGGGAGGTGGAGGTTCCTTGAACATACTTGCACCAGGTTCGGGAGCCGTAATCATACTGGCACCAGGGCCAAGATTTTCATATTCTGCCATCTCTGGATCTACTGAGTTCAAACGGAGATTTCGTAGAGAAGAAACAATTGACCTTCAAATATGTAACACTATAAAAAATGAGACGTATCAAAGATAATGATGTTATGAAAGTGTTTGTTATGACAATGCTATCAACAGCTTCAATTCTTACTCTTAGTACTGAGAGAGAGAGGTAGGTCAAAAACCATACTTAGCCTTTGACCGTGCATTACCAGTGTTACCCGTACTGCTAGTGTTACTCGCGTTAGCAAAGTAACCAATGTTATTCGTGTTAGGCCTAAGGCATACCTCACACGATTTTAGTCGCTGCGCGTTCTGCCATTGCAAGAGCTCTTCATAGCTGGTCGTGAACGCACTTTGCTTGGACACTTGCTGCGTCTGATACAACTTACGAAATTATGCGCCAATGCATCTAAGAGCCGCGCATGCTTAATGTGTAGACATCTTGCGAGTGGCCAAGTCACGGGGATGCGCGATTAGGATTCGCGGGAGGTATGCCTTAGGCCTTACTCGTGTTACTAGTGCTACCGCAAGAGTCAAGCGTGGATGTGGCACAAAGCACCCTGGGGGTTGTAATCGAGTAGTACTAATGATAGTGATAACATGTTATTCGCGTGGTAACCCCATTATCATAACTTATAATAATGGGCTAAGGGTTGTCTACGTTTGTCCGTGTGTGTGTGAATCTCTGTCTGTCACGAATTTCGTAGAGCGAGTTCCAGCAAAGTTAAAATTGAGTTATTCTTGAGTTAGAATTTTGGTAGTAGCACCCTATCAGCACGTAGGTGAAGTGTGCACAAGCGCAAGCAGATCCGATAAGTGGAACATGTGAAAACTGGTGCGCCAAAGTGGGCCTGTAATTGGACTTTTCCAAAATCGTGAATTTATCCAACAACTCCGCAAACTAGACTTTAGCCCGAAAAGTGAGTAAAAAATAATTTACTTTCACGCAAGATTGGCGCCAAAAAGGAATAATTGGGTAGATAGTCGATTTGTTAGGGTATTTTACCTAAGAATTCAAGAAGAATTTTGCTTAGAAATGTAACTCATGGTTGTCATCATCTTTATGGCGACTATCAAGCCATTGTAACTCCAGTGAGTGATTGAAACCCCCAATTATTTTTTTGGAGAATACTTTCTTTTTCTCAAAGTTACCGAGCTTCTGAAATGGGAGTTCTTTACAATTCAATCCTGATGATCGGCATCGGCGGTAACTTGAGGAAGGCACTGAATAGTAGGACCAGTGCTAGCCTCTGCGAAGCAGAGGTGCGCACTGGTATGAAATACAAGCACATGAGATATTGAATTGTCATCCACAGCTATAGTCGAATCATTTCACATGACCGTGTGTGTCATTGCACACAAAGTTCACGTTCTCATATTTTCTTTCATTTATGGTTACTACCTCAAATTGATGTAATCGATAACAATCAGTAAGCCTTTTGCATCTCTGAGATTGAAAATCTAGGATTAGGACGCCGAAGGTGGACTGTATGTGCAGTGACACACATGATCATATGAATTGATTCGACTGTATACTAGCATGATAAAGAGGCCCCATTAAGCATACAAGCAATATCTCCATAATTACCATGTTCAAAGAAACCCTATGGACCAAGTTTCAGCGAATTTTGAAGTTTGTAAATATTGGTCTCACCTGAGTGAAATGGTCATTTTCAAGCATGATTAATTTTATTTGAAAAGTGAGGTAATTACCTCTTTTGGCACTCTACACAAATCACTACTCCTTCTTTGCCCACCTCATTTCCGCTTCGAAACCTCCAGACTGTGGAATTAGAAGGCATCTAAAATCTCAATTTTCCCTTTTTTCGCATTTGATGGCTGTAGTTTCACCAATTGCTACTCAGAGCAGAAAGGACGTATCAGATGTAAATTACTAAAGGTCTACGAGGTTTAAGCTATCGAATCATATAAATGTTACTTGCAGAAAGTGTTCTTCACGGCAAGTTAATGGGGTATGGCACAATCTCAAAAAAGGTTTGACTGCCTACTTTTTTGGGATTGTTCTATACCCCGTTAACTATGTCATAAAAACATTTTTAGCGAACAGTATGTACATTGATCGATAGCCTAAACCTACATTTCGCAGGAGTGATTTGAGCCTGATTCGTGAGTAATAGTTGTAAAATACAACCATCAGTTGGAAGTCGTGTCAAGCAGATTTTTGATGTGGACAAAGAAGCAGTAGTTCTTTGTAGTAACTGTAGAAAAAAGTGGTTAACTCATTTTTGAAACAAGGTAGCATGTTTGAAGATGACCATTTCACCTAGATGGCCAGTATCTGGAATTTTCAAAATTCGCTGAAACTTGATCCACAGGGCTCTTTTGACATTCTGATTACAGATATATAGCTCGTTGTGCTCGGTAGGGTCGTAGTTATGCCTAGCTTATGTATGCAGTAGTCCGGGGAGGGGGGGAGAGGGTGTCTTATTAAGGCAGCAACTAGGGGGGAGGGTCGTATCTGGCAATCATGTGCCACATCTCTTGCTTGACCCTGGTTACCGCTTTCAAACTGCTCAGACAAATCACCGGAACTCCCGCAGGACAAGCCAAATTTGCAGAAGTTCCGCAGGACTTTGTTTACTATTGCAAAAATGAAAACGTTGAAAATCGGAACTTCCGCGGGATTTTCATGCCAAACTGGTTGAAAACCGGAACTTCCGCAGAACCTTCTTCAAAATCCTGCGGAATTTCCGAAAAATGCCAGAAGTTTCGCAGCACTTTGGCCTGGCAGAACTTCCGCAGGGCTTTGAATGTGTTGTTTCGTGATGTTGCCTCGCCATTATCGAACATGTCAGCCGTAGTGTAGAGGATAGTAGGTGGGTCTTACAGTCAATAGAGTGAGGTTCAAATCTCGCTTCGATGTTCTCTTTTGCTGTTGTGGTTGGCATTCTTCGGAACTTCCACAGAACCTCATTTCGGAACTTCCGCAAGCGCTCTGCGGAAGTTCCGGTCATTTGTCTGAGTGGTCTGTAGTGAAATGACCACAAATACAGTCTCATTCTAGAACGCAATCTCATTGACTGGCGAGTAACACTAGTAACTCTGGTAATATGAGTAACACGTGTGGCATTGGTAATGTATAGCCAAAGCGTTAGCCTGCATTGCTTTTATTCTCTATCACAATACAAGAATAACTGTTCAAAAGTTGACGCCGGCTATACGCAGTCGCCAGGATAAGGAGAATCAGATCATCCTTTTATTGAGCAATCATCGGAGAAAAGATCGACAAAGGCTTGTTCCTCGAAGTGATATTGAGCGTTGGTGCCGGGCCGTCGGTAAAGAGCTTTGTAACAAGGAAATAGTCTCGTACAATTAGGCGTTCAACAGAAGCCGCGTTGAAGTTACAAAAGCCCAATCTCTTCATAACGAAGAAATTTAAACAGGGGTTTATACTGTTTAAGTGCATATACAAGTCTAGTCTCACTTAGAAGACTGATAATGTTCGGACTGGTTTTGATTAGCACATTTCACTAGTTCTTCAACTGTAAGCGGTCAAGCAATTTTGTTTCAATTGAAGGAAGTACTCAAAGAAAACTCTGATAACATTTGTGAAATGTGAGTTTGTTAGTACCCTAATTTCACGCGTACAAGGCGCGGGGGATTTTTTTCCAAAATTGACTAGCCCAAAGACGTCAAAGAACTTTGCAACCAAAGGACCCTATGCCGTGCTGTATATTGCTTAAAAGAATCGTACGGCATAGGGATCGCTTTCCGAAATAATTTAAAGCGGCTGAGGGGTTTGATTGAAAAATTGAAAAAGGTGCGCCTTGTACGCGTGTAAAGACTAATAACGGCTCTGTTATGTTTCATTTTAGCTTGTGAATATCTGCAACAGCCCTAGGTACAATTTCTAGTAAGGAACTAAAGTGTTGCTTTTTTTGCTGGAAATCATATTATGCAACAAAAGGATATTGCGCGTGTAAATGAACCGGTATGTACTTTCGTACTGGATGGAACTGATAATTATGAACATTTTTCAGTTTAGGCCATAATCAGGATATGTTATTACGCATCTATAGCGTTTGTAGGTGCCAGTTTTGCATTTCTAATCCTATCGCTGATTCAATTTTTCGAAATGTAGGACTGGGCTAGTGCTATTGCCTGAGCACGGCTGCCTATTCAGAATTATACTTTAGCAGCAAAATACGTATTATATGTTTTAGATGTATAAAGCTTAATTCACATATATCGACTGTATAAATATAACTATACAAGTAAAATTTTGATTTATAAGGGAAGTCATGATGAAGCAAAATGAAGGCTGACCAAAACAATCTTGCACTTCACACTTCCCATTTGCTAAAGGTGCTCCAACATGAAACAAAATTTATACAATCTGCAAGGTTTTGCCAGTTTTAAATCATCATCCTGCTATGATTACAAGTTGAGGCCGTCTGTATTTTGCACACATGTGTCACGAAATTCACGGAGTGGTCATAGCGAAGCTTTTTGAGCCAAAATTTTAAACAGCGCGTTTACCAACATGTCATTCGCCGTGTGAAAGCACGAGCGCATTCGAGGCTAGATCCCACAAAGTTTTAGAGTTAAACTGATTGTGCCCTAATTAGACTGTTCGCAAAATCAACGATTCGCTTAACGCTCACAACTACCGACTCCAAAATGAAGAATAATCAAAAAGCGCATTTTTGCAAAAACGGAGAAGGAAAGGTATATTTAGGTACACGGTCGATTTGTTGAGGTTCCAGTTGAAAATGGAAGATTTTTGCTCAGCGACATAGCTTGCATCGGTCATTGTCTTTATGGAACTATCAAGTCGTACTAAATTCAGTACTCAATTCAAAATCGCATTTGTACTCCTGGACCGTTTTTTTTTTCGAGATTACCAATCATACGTGAGGAAGCTTTTAGAATGGATATATTCACAATTCGCTCGTGGGTCAGCGTTGAACTGAGCTTCAAAGCCGCGATCATGCAAGCACAAGGAGGGTGTACAGATAGTAAAATTATTGGGAGCTGGTAAGCAGAGGCAACGCACTAGTAACTAGTAACTATGATGGTTAAAGTTTCGAGGATAGCTTTTTTCGTGCTAATCTAACCTATGTTAATAGCGTAACATGTGTTTGTTCACTCTTGCTAATAACTAGAAGAAGCAGCAAAAAAGAGTGCCTCAGGTTTTAATTCATTCGACCGGTCATTTTTTTTCGGGGGCTAGTGCTAAAAATAATAAATACTAGCTAGCGACCTATCAAGCCTGGATTCAAGTGCGGATGAGATTCTGGGTAGACAGAATTTGCCTTTCCGAACTCTAATAAAATCATTGTCTCTCCTTTTTGTTTTTTGCGTCAATTACTCTCTCCCACTCCTTTTTCCTGTTCCATCTGCAAATCTGCGCTGTAGCGCTCCCTTGGCTCTCGTTGGATTTGTCCTTCTTTCTGGTTGGCTCGCTTCGCCGCATCGCATCCTCGTCACCGCAAAAGGGGGTGGTGCAGGAGGAACCAGAGGGATGCCGCCTGTATCCGCAGGAGATAACTAAGAGCGCGAGCGCTGTGGAGAATATTTTGGCAAGGATCCAAGAGAACTTCGCAAGGATATCCCATAGAAACAAATCTTCATAACTTTGCCTGGAGATGGCTTTGAAAAAGTTGAAAAACAGATTTGTAATGCAAATTGGAAGGCGCATTCACTGGATCCAAAAGTAAGCGAAAAGTTGGAATTGTAGCGGTGAGAAAAGTTAATTTTCTTACAGAAAATTTTTTTGTTTCATGAATTTTGGAGTTACAGATTGTTGAAGACCGGGATTTTCATTAAAATTTATTCTTTTTTCTTCGAGATAAGGGATTGTTTTGCCTTTTGATTCAATGAACCAAAGCAATCAAAATTTACTAAAAACACATCTGGAGGCTTGAGTCAAGATGCAATTACGGTTTGTCTCATAACTTCAAACCTATTTTGGTTAAAATTTGGACACTAGAGATTTCAATGGATTTGCCATTAAAACTATGTCGGTATCTTTTTGAGAATGCACACATTAAGAAAAGATTATCAGTTTATCACATGCAGCAACTTAAATAACATTATTGCCTGATTATCACTCCCTACTTTCAACTTCCAATCGAGAAATTCATCAAAAATTCACTTAAAATCTTTCACAAAGCATTAAACTTGCAATTCTTCAGCTTGTAATTGTGAATTCTGAAAGCTCAGTTTTTGGTAAAAATAGAACTCGAGTAGTGAGACAGAGTAGTTTATCTATCCGGTATACCGGATATTACCGGCGTATTACTGAAAAATGCGCATTTCAATACTGATTCCAAATCTGTCCTCCATATACTTGAAAGTTAATTCCAAGAAGAGTTATAAGAGTTTGTTTCCAATGGATGTCCTCTACAAGTTTCCCTGGATCCTTGCCAAAATCTTCTCCACAGCGCTAGCACTCTTGATTATCTCCTAGGCCTACCGGCGGCAGGCCTTTGGTTCCTCCTGCACCGCATCCACCGCAAAACGTGAGCTTTGAACCTCCTAAACTTCATTCCTTATTCTTTCTTATTATCATATCGCTATTTTTATTACTTCTTTTTTATTTTCACTGAAATAGGACACCGCGTTTTTCAAACAAAGTTTTTTGTGTTGTTATAAAGAGCCAATAATGGCGTAGGTTAGATGGCAACTCTTCTCTTAATTTAACAATATGGATCCTATCATCACTTATAATAACGGGATAGAGTTGTGTGTGTGTGTGTGTGTGTGTGTGTGTGTGTGTTTGTGTGTGTGTGTGTGTGTGTGTGTGTGTGTGTGTGTGTGTGTGTGTGTGTGTGTGTGTGTGTGTGTGTGTGTGTGTGTGTGTGTGTGTGTGTGTGTGTGTGTGTGTGTGTGTGTGTGTGTGTGTGTGTGTGTGTGTCTGAATGTCTGTCTGTCACGAAATTCATAGAGCAAGTTCCAGGAAAGGTCCCGAGCTAGAATTTTGGCCATAGCACCCTGTCAGCATATAGATCAACTGTGCAAAAGCACAAGCCGATCCAATAAGCGGAACCTTTGGAAAGTGTGCGCTAAATGGATCCATGCGGCTTTTCGCCTACAAAACTGGATCTGAACCAAGACTTTTTGCAAAATTATAGGGATTCTTGGCATTCAAGCCATTGACTGTAGCTTGGAAAATTCATCAAAAATCGCGTTCTCTCGCGACAACGGCGCCAAAAAAATGAAGCATAGATGGTCGTTTTGTGAAGGTTTTACGAAGGAAATTCAAAAAGAATTTTGCTCAGAGATTTAGCTCTCGGTTGTCATAGTTGCCATTATAGCAACTATCAAGCCATTATAAGTTTGGCAAACAACTCAAATTTGCATTTATTTCTCGGCACAAAACTTCCTCCTCTCAAAGTCACCGATCTTACATGGAAAGCTTTGGGAATGAGTAGTTGTTTACCATTTAGTTTAGTCGTACTGGCCAGCATTGCGCGGTGAGTTTCACAGCCATCATTAGGTAAGCAAGAGGAAGAGGCACAGATGATGGATCCAGTGCAAGCCTCTGCGAAGCACAGGTGACGCACTGGTAATTTCCAATGAAGCGCTAAGCGTCTGTCTCTTTGTGCATGTATGTGTATGTATATCTGTCAGAAATTCATAAAGGAAGCTGCAGCCAAGCTATCGAGCTACAGTTCTGCATAACATACCGCACCAGCATGTAGGTCCACCACCCACAAAGGCGAGCCGGTTTGATAAGCGGGTCCTTCAACATTTGGGCGTTAAACGGGTCCACGCGGCTTTGGCACCAAAATAGCTCGCTAATTCGACTTTTTGCAAAGTCATGATTCGCTTGACAGGTAAATCGGTCCCCATAACTTCTAGCCCAAAAAGTGCTCAAAAAGTTTGCTTCTCTGCGAAAGCAGCGCCAAAAAGTGGTGATCGCGTGATAGCCGATTTGTCAAGGTGTTACCTTGAAATTCGAAATGATTTTTGCAAGGAAATATAGCTCAAAGTGACTATTATCCTTATGACGACTACCAGGACAAAACAAATTTAGTAATACATTCAAATTCGCAGGTGTTCCTTTGCGAAAAAAGTTTTTTTCTCAATAATTACCAATCTTAAGTGGAGATGCTTCAAGAATGAACAGCTGTTTGCGATTCATTTTTGATGTTCAGAATCGCGTGGTGAGTTTCAAAGTCATCATTATGCGAATATGAGATCGCATTGACTAGTGATAGGCTCTTACAGTAATATGCTCTTACAACTGATTTCATTCAAAACATGGTGTACATTTCGGCAAATTAATTTATTCATTGATAGATATGAGGCAGTGTCTAGATATATTGATATTATTCGTCTAACAATAGCGGCACCCAGACGAAAATGTCGATAAACTGTATTACTATTACCACCAATAGTAAAAAACTGAATACCAGCAGCAACAATGTCACAATGTGACAGAATTTCAGCATTGTCTGTAATGTATTTTTTCTCTATTTTAATTTGCAGTAGAAACTTACAGATTCCTTATATGGTTCTGATCTAGGCGGTTTTAGTGGTTCTTCCAGCTTTTTGTCTACTTCAACTTTTTCTTTTGATTTCGATGCTTTCTCTGAAAAGTCTGAGCTTGAAAAAGCCATTTAAAGGGATCTTAACATAACCAGCCTTCAATAGTTGGCGCTGTCGTGCCGCGCTCAGAACTAAGGTCTACATCATCTCCTGGCCTCAATTTCGGTTTTCGAAACAAAAATCACGATCAACTACTATACGACTTACCTGAGCGCGAAGCGCTCTACACTGAGTGTTTGCGTCTTTTCTTCACCCTTCGTTTTCACGCCATTCACTGGTGGTTCCGGTGGAGGTGCTGGCGGTTCCGGTGGAGGTGGTGGCGGTAGAGGCAGAGGTGCCGGTTCTGGGGCCGCATTGGGTCCAAGTTGCTCATAAGCATCTTCACCCTCCTTCGACATCACTGGTATTTCGGTAAAACGCTATGCAAATGAACTTCACTCACATGAAATTTGAAAATGTACGTTGTTATGCAAGTGTGTACGTGTTTACAATTAACTTGCGGATACGACAATACGACACTCTGTATTCCACAGCTTTTTGCATGAAGAAAACCACGCTTTTTTGGAGCACGTAGCTCTTCAGAAAACTTTCATGAAAGGCAAATTGTTTTATGCGATTCGAGCACAACCAGTGCATTCGTGTAAAATATGACTTATTTGTAAGGGGTAAGCTAGCAAGAGCACGTAATGCACTACAATTTGTGGTGACTCTAGCTTAAAGGCAGCGTCCGGGCAAAAGCGAAAACGTAGAGTACAGAGGCTCCCGTCTTGGTAAGGCTCTTGCCCAACTGGCAATGCACCAATTTGCTTCTGAAGCGAGAAAATCGCTTCAGAAGCGGGGACCGAAACGCCCCGGCGAGCGGGAACGAGTTAGCTCGATAAGCCAGGGTGCGCATACCGCACACAGTCAAGATGTAGGGTCCCACAAAGACTCTGCGTCTCAACCTTGGCTGCAGGCGACAAAATTCAAATTAAGAGCTTTAAAAAAGCCCTTTTTCGACATTTTCGTGCTCTCAGAGGTGCATTTTCGGAATCAGGGGGAAGGATAAGCCCAGGTAAGCGAAAAAAATTCTATCCGAAATCTTGCCCGGACGCTGCCTTTGAAGGCAGTGTCCGGCTAAGAACTCGATTTTGAGATTTTGTGCTTACGCGGGCCTATTCGCTATGCTGAATCCGAAAATCCACATTGGAGAGCGCGAAAACGACGAAAAAGGGCTTTAACACTGGAGGGAAATCAGCAAGTGGGCGGGTCTTCCCCAGTGTGAATTCACGCTTCCAGCTTCCAGAGCAATTTTCTCGAATCCGTTAGCCGCCCTGACATCACTACCGATCAAGTGCAAACGAATGACTTAAAATCGGAATCAAAAAAATCGCCCCCGAAGCTGGGAGCGTGAATTTACAGTGGGGAAGACCCCGCAAACTTGCTGATTTCCCTCCAGTGTTAGTTCGTCGTTTTCGCGCTCTCCAACGTGGATTTTTGGATTGAGCATAGCGAATAGGCCCGGGTAAGCACAAAATCTCAAAATCGAGTTTTTGCCCGGACACTGCCTTTAAGTGTTTATGTGTAGTTTCCGACGCAAGAGACGGCTTGACTCAACACTTTTTCTCTTCTGTGAATTGAAGAGTGAACTCATTTGTGCTCCTACTTGTGCAGTTTACCACAAAGAATATTTGTATTTGACGTCAAAGCACCAGATACTAGGTTGCCGGAGGATGATATGTCATCTTGTTCTATCCTGCAAAATCGCGAAAGGATAGCACGAAAGAAAGTGAATGTTCGACAGACCAAAGCAACCCCTATAAAATTAAGCTTACAGCATCGCGCTAAGTTTGATTTGCACGAATTATTCACGTCGAAGCATGAAGTTTATAGCCAAACTCTAGATACTAAACCTGAAAAATCGAAAAGTTGTATCTACATCCAGAAAGATTTGAGATTCCCCATCATGCATACACTCTCAACGACAGACCTTGTGTACATACTGTCGTGACTTTTGCATGAGTAACAATCGAGAAACCGAAATTTGGCATAGTTTTCCAAGCAACCTGAGCTTCTCCCGTGTCAAGTATGAACCTTTAGAAGTATTAAAAAAAATTTCAGCTTACAAGTTTCTTTTCCTGAAAAAAAAAACGAATTTATCGCAAAAAAGTGCGAAAAACGCATAAACACTCACTTTTGACTTATTTTTGTTTCTTATATTTTAGCCATGGAAAGTTTCCACAACCTAGACTTGAATCTCTAATGTAAAAAAAAACTTTTCTGAACAAGTCTGATGTTCGTAGTGATTCTATAGACGAAGAATTGATTTCTGAAATTTTTCGAAATTTTATATTGGCTTCAAGTTTCATGTAGATGAAAGTTTGCGGGAGGAAGCAAAGCGACATAATTTCTGGACAACACAATATAATAGATGTAAACTTTGAATGTTTTCTGTGTAGAATTCCAGCGATGTTTATTAAGTCACTCGAATAGAAGTTTTATATCATCTACTAGACGAAATGGGGAGAACGCTGACCATGACAGCAGATCTTGATCCGGCAAGTAATGGTTTTGATATAACATTTTCTGAAAAAGGATTCGAGTTAGCAAAAGGTCTTGATCGTGTTACATCGAATGGCCTAATGAGCATCAGGGGAGACGACTGCATTACCTCTGCACCAAATAAACTGCAACACACGCTCTCGTATCCGCTTATTAAGAATCATAAGCAAGTAGGCATTCAAGAACGTAAGCAAGTCAGAAAAATATGAGACTATCCAACCAGAGTCGCTATAGCTGTACATATAAATAAGTATCTGAAATATCTATTGGTAGGTAGCCGTTCCACTGTGCTTCTGCACAGGGCTTGTTTGGACACAAAAGTTGAGATGATTCTGTTCATTTCTATCTATTTTGAGGTATAAACTTACATGTAACGCGATGAAAGTCGTTTGCATGAAAAAATCCACGAGAGCCAATATGAACATATTGCGTTCCGCCTTGTCCATCAAACGGGTATGGTAAAAATATAGCGACACGACACTGATTATTGTTGAGATAATGATGAATAAACACATGAAAGCCAGGAGTCCCAACATGATGACGACGAAATCCTATAGTCAATAAGTGAATTTTTTCACATTTCCACAATAGCAAATGTCTTACAGAAGCGGATTCCACAACAAAGTTATTTTTTACTTTGTCCTCTACAAACCAGGCTTTTGCGAAAAGTGGACGATATGAGATGATGAACGGTGTCAGTAGCGTAAAAGCAATACTCACAGGAAACGCCCGCTTCCATATCTGATATTGACGGTTGTTTGGAAGTAGCCAAAATTATTTCAAAGAAGGTGTAACGATTATGATTTTACGACAACAATTATAGTGCTATGTATATATTTCTTTTCATAGACATATTTTTTTGCATTTTTACTTATTTTGTAAAAAAATTTTTAGCACTAAAACTTACCCTTGTGTGCCTTATTGGGATAACAATGATGGTCATTCTATAGAGCAGAATAAAAAATATCATGTACATTTGCACAAATGCCGTGTGTACCGAGATACAGTAACTCTGAAAGTTCAGCCAAATGTGGAGCGAGGTATATATAGAGGATAGAAATCTCCATCTAACATTTGGGGTGCCTACTGGCCCAGGCACGAGCATTACCCTGATTATGAGTTGTGCATCATCATCAATAGCTACCGCCAAAAAGCATAGAAATGCATCGTAAATGTATTCACTGCTTCGGTACTCGCTAGTTAAATCCTGATGAGCTGCTCATTAACTTTGATAATTATCAAGAATAATTGCTAGCAGCATTCCGTTGCATTCAACTTACGACTTTGCATTTTCCGTCTCGTGCAAGATGGTTTGCATTGGCTTTGATACGAACTGCGATATGTCTACACCCGCTCAATGCCTTCGCTTCAGGATAAAGCTAGCGAGTAAACATTCGAAGGTACCCAAGCAGTCGCTTAAGCGAACACTGATGCAGCCCGTGGCTTGACATCGTATCAGAAGCCGAAAGAGGACCAAACCCGTTTTCTTGAGCCTAGGCAGTCGTGCAGCCTTACCAGCATGTCACCCCATTTCAGCAAGAGGTTTGATGCGACCTCTATAAAATCCTGTTCTCACTGTGCATTTACCTACCAGTCGTGCCGGTACAACATCAAAGTGATCCTTTCCACTATCGAATTTTTTCGTTGAAAGTAAGTACGAGGAAATTACCTTTTTACGTGGTATGAATTATGACTTAAACTCACGATTGAAGTTGTTATAAACGGAGCCCTTGCGTAAAGAACACTCCACAGGTCTCCGTTATTAGTGATTGTGGGTAGCTGATATAAATAGAAGGTATTCACAAAACCAGCAGTGTTCTGAAAATTTTTTTCAGTGATGAGCAAGGTCAAGCGTAGAGATATAATACTTGTTTGAGAATGCGACCCCTTGCCTTGCAGACCTACCTCAACGACCCCATCTCTCTGACTCTGGAATATCATAGAGTACGTGTTGAAGAAAAGTCAGTTTTCTGTGAATAATTTCTTATTAAGAGTTTCTGCATGCTATTTTATGTGATTGCACATGACAGAGTACGACGAGAATTGATGAAGGACTTTGATGCTGGTACGATGATTTTCAAGAGCTGCACTAATCCCAGACGTGGAGGGCTTAGCACAAAAATTTTTTATGGCATGAAGGGTTTTGACCCCACTCTAATCAAAAAATATGGTGCTGCTTGCGGGCTCTGAAAGTAAGCTAGGTTAATCCCGCAGAGTTGCCCAGGCTTGACCTTTTGTAGTGCGCTGCCATCCCCACCGATTTTTTCTGAAGAAGCTTCATTATATAGGTTTTATGTCATCCATTAGCAAAGGCAGTCTACTTTAAGTGTTGAGACGTTTTCTTCTTTATGCTTTATGGCTCGACGGAGTGAGACAAGTTGCGGAAGATGTTGATGATAGAATTTGAAATTTCTTATCCGCTATAAATATGAATTACACTTAAAGCAACAGTAGCTATCAGTGGCGTACCGAGGGGGGGGGGCGGGGGGGGGGGGGGGGCGCGCGCCCCCCCCCCCCCCGAGAACGGGTCGCGAAATTTTTGAAAGTTACTTACATGCGTTATAAAAATGTGCAAATGACTTGTTTATTTTTGTAAACAATTAAAATAATTTTTAAAATTTTTTAAAAATTCAAATTAGCCTTATGAAAAAAATTTTTTCGGGGGCGTGGCTGACGCCACGCCCCCTTTTTCCAGATTTTAGGGGTTGAGGGCTCGCAAAATTGTTGAGAAGCCCCCCTAAAATTTTTTCGGAGTGCGTGGCTGAAGCCACGCACCTTCATTTAAAAATTTTTTTTGCCGCGCCCCCCTCCCGAGCCGAAATCCTGGGTACGCCACTGGTAGCTATGAATAGCTTAC